GAAAGGACAAAACTTGCACCTTTCTCAGATAGACAAACTTGTGTGGGAATGAGATTTCAGTGTGCTCTTTCCTGTATCCATCAGGAAGAAAGGTCAGAATCAGTTTGTACCCAGATGGCCCAGACATGATATACCCTTGCCCCACGCCAATGTTAATTACTCTGCTGTCTGTCATTTATTGTCCAGAGGCACTTGGACAACTGAGACATGCAGCAGAATACTGTAGTAGTTGCTATTCTGATGACACTGTTAACTACTCCCTAGGTAACCAGTAAGTACTCTGTATATGTTGGTAAGATATATCTGCTTGAGGGGTGGGAGATAAAGTTACCAAGATTCAGGGGCTTTGCATATCAGTGAAGCTTCTAAGGATCCAGTGTTTGTGGGCATTCTGGAATATCCCATCCAAAGTCCAAGGCAAATTCTTACAACTTGCATTTTTACGACCAAGACAAGCAGAATGTCTGGTAGGGCTCCTAGAGCTTTGGAGGCAGCATATTCACAGGATTTGGTGATACATTTATCGGGTGGTTTGGAAAGCTACCAACCTTTAGGTAAGGCCAGAACAATAAAGAGCTCTCTAGTAAGTACATACTGTGGTACAAGTAACCATGTCTTTTGGCCATATGAGTCAGCAGATCTCATCGCACTACATAAACATGCCATGCGGTGCCTCTGGCAAGCCCCAGTGGACGAGTCACAGTACAGACCACAGGATTCTGGAGCAAGGCCATGACCATCTGCTACAGAGAACTATGTAACTATTCCAGTCATGATACTGGGAGCTGGTAAATCATTGAGCATCTGATCATTGGACACCAGTGACCATATAGCGTTAAGTGATCACAAGTTGTATTCATAAATTCAAGCAGAGGCAGCAATTCTATCTAAGTAAACTAATATATCTGTAATTATGTTCAATCAGGATCAGAGCATATGTAAAGTAGCTTTATAAACAGGTGCCTGAGACCCTCGTGTCATCTACCACTGTTGGCCCAATGCCTCTGCCTTAACTCTAAGCTATGGCCCCAGGGGTAGTTCCCTATGACCAGTGGGCAGAAAGAAAAAAATCATGTTTGGTTCATAGGTAGATCAGGTTGAAATTCATAAGGGCATTCTTCCCAATTGTCAGGATTGTAGGCAGTGTATCTAGTGATCAACTGTGTTGGGAGATAAAAATATCCAAGGTAAGGGTACACGTTTGGACAGTCACAAGTGTCAGTTCACTGCACTTGTTGGTCAGAGGTCGGGAAGAAGATGGGGAAAGGCTAGAGAAAAGCAGATGTACATACTTTGGAGGGCATATGATATGAAGATCTTTTATAGCACATAATTTCCCTGCTGATGCAGCATTAACCAGCAAAATATACAGGATGCCTAGGCCAGAAGACGTCAGGCTATCCTTGTGGTTACCTTAGTTCTTGCACGATTGTCTCATGAATGCAGTGGCATTGGTGGCAGAGAAGAGGCTAGTACAATCAGCTTGTACTCAACCCAAGCAGATAGTGGTGCTGCTGCTATTGACCGACCTATAACACAGGTAACAGAGACCAGCACACGGGCTCTCAACAAGGTCAAAGAACTGCTGGGTTGAACTGGCTCCTTTCAACTGCAAAAAGTACCCCTCCTCAGGACTGGCTTTGACAAGTACAGGTTTGCTTTTCCTGCTCACAGTGCTTCACCATTAACCAAGGACTCAGAGGGTGTTTCACAGTTGAACATAGGAACTCACATGCTGCTGAGACCTCAGATTAAGAGACTCACTTTCCAGCAAGAAGGTACTTGACCATAGGATCCACTGGACATACTATATCACTGGAAGCTATATGTTTTGTAAGAGTCATAACTTTTTCAAGGTGAGGCTCCACCTTGAAAAATAACACCTGTGGTTAACTCCTTAAATCATTGCCATTGTATGGTGCTGTCTCCTCAGTTCATAATGTACACAGATACTGAGGATTTTTTTTTTGTTTCTGTTTTTTTGTTGTTAAGTAAGAGTGCCCTGTTTACCATCTCCTACAGTGGTACATTTGGCGAATCTTATTTTCTTCTGGCAATTTCAGGCCCTACTAGCATACAGGTCCTGGCAGATATGGGATACACCAATCAGAGAACATAGTAGGAAATGAGAGTTGTACCTGCTCTCTGGTGGCTTGTGGGTTCCTAATGCCAGACGATCAGAACGCAAACTCAGAATGAGGTGAAGGCTGGTGCTACATAATGAGGGGAGAGGATATGTTGGGTTACTCAGGAGATTCACTGAGCAATCCTTGGTATTCCCTAGGGAAGTTGTAAATGTAAACAGGCAAGGGCAGCAATCACAGCTTGATAGTCAGGGTATAAGACATGTAGGATGAGTCCCAGGTCCATATATCACTGCCTGTGCAGAGAGGCTAGTTGAAGTGGAAGGGAATCTAGTGGGTAGTGGAAATAATAAGTATCATTTACTGTAGCAGGACCAGCTGCCGCAGCGGGGAATATAGCTCTTCTTATAAAACCTTCCCAAAACTAATAAGAATTCTGGAAAGCCAGGCATGGTGGTACATGACTGTAATCCCAGCACTTCAGAGGCTGAGGCAGGAGGATTTCCATGATTTTCCATGAGTTAGAGGCCAGTCTGAGCTACATAGTGAGTTCAAGGCCAGCCTGCACTACAAAGCAAGACCTTGTCTCAAACAAACAAACAAACAAACAAACCCAAAATGAGAATTCTGGAGAGGTTGGGCACACTTGCAAAGCCTTGCAATCCCAGCTACTTGACAGCTTGAGGAGGGAGGATCACATGTTCAAGGGCAACCTGAACATAGCAAGACCTTGTCTTAAAATAAAAACTAACTGGGGATATAGGGCAGTGGTAGAGCAAATCTGAGGCCTAGGGTTCAATTCACAGCATGAAGAAAAAAGGACCTCTGGAGAAACTTGTCAGATAAACATCATATGAGACACATGATCTAGGCAATACTAAGTGGACAAGAAAGTAAGTTCCTGTGTCCTGCCCATATCCACTTTATAGGCACTTTGTGTATCTATATTTCAGCCACTGTTAGTGGTAGATAGCAATTACAGCTGAAGAATTTTCTTTGGCTAAAACAGAAGCCCTTTTACCCACAAGGCTATCATGACCTCTGTCTTCCCCTTAAGATCTCACCCAATAACAGACTGTCGTGGAGGAACAAAAGCTGGCCTTCAAGACCAACACCTGGATGTATATTATGTAGCATGAGTGGAGCCTCCTTCTTATTTCTTGTTTTCTTGGTCAATCCTGCTGTCTCCCAGAAGCCCCATGTAGTAAGACACTAGAACAAGAATCCTTGTTTCAGGTCCTATTTTCAAATCAGCAATGCAACACTAGTTATCTGGAGAGTGTTTGAGGATAGTTCTATATAGAGAAAAGGACTAAAATCTTGAGACATGGTTTTGTAACAGATAATGCCCCTCCCCTTCCTGCCAGTATACTTCAGTTTTTTAGTTGTCCAGGTTATTGTTCCTGTTGCAGTGCTGGTTGCTTCTGTCTCCTAGAAAAGACTAATCACTGTGATGTATAGCTAATTACTATGATGCATAATGTAACAACCAATCAAAAACAGCCAAGTACTCTGCCTGTGTACCTCCCCTTTGCAAACCTATAAAAACCTCCCTCCCTTAGCCTTCAGGGCCTGATATTTTGGGACTGACCCCAATCACTGCCCATCAACATAAAATAAATGTCTCCCAATCCTGGGTGGTGTTTTGGTGTTTCTGCTTGCCCTTGCAGTATAACATGTTAGATGATGATCCATAAAAACATTATGCTAAGTGGAAGAAGACAGATTCAAAAGACCACACAATACATAATTCTTTGTGTTTGAAATGTTAAAATAGGCAAATACATAGATACAAAAAGTAGATTAGTAATTTCTAGGGGTTTTAGGGTGGATGGGGTAGGAAGGAATGGGGACCACTAATGGATGAATTAGATATCTTGGCTCCAAATTTAATTCCTTGGTTATGCTTCAGGTTTTGTTTTGTTTTTTTAAGACAGCATTTTGCCTTGTAGAATTATGCTGGTGTCAAACTCATGGAGATCCAACTGTTTCAGCTTCCTGAGCACTGGGATAATAATAGCGCACCACCATGCCTAGCAAGGCTTTTACATTTACAGCTCTTATTATTCTGGTAATAAGTAAACTTTAGTGGTCATTTGGAAGTACCCTTTCCCTAACTTTCCATTTTTAGCCATGTGTTTAATTAATCATGTTTGTATCAGCGTTTCATTGCTGAGATAAACACCTGATTCATGCAATTTAAAAGAAAACAAAGTTTATTTTGGCTCACAGTTTCAGCAATTGCAGACCCTGATCAGCTAGCTCCAGGGCAAATACATCATGGTGAAAGGTAAGAGGAGAGCTGCTCAATTCATGGTATCAAAGAAGCAGAGGAAGAGTCAGAGAGGAAGGGAGCAGATACAGTCCCCAAGGTCTACCCAGACACACCCAGAAATGTACTTTACTAATCCCCTTGGCATCTCTAAAACCAATCAGGTTGAGAATGACATGAACCATCGGAGTTTCTAAGGAGTTCATAAATTGTTGAGGAACTTCAAGCAGCTCCCAAGTGCAAGGGGAGCCAGCAAGGCATACATAACAGAGTTTAACAGATTTGTAGACAGCTTTACTTACACATCTACGTTTTATCTGTATCAATATGCTGATTTTTACAAACGCACATGCATTACTTCCCTACACTGACCCTAAAGCCTGCTTCTTGTTTGTTGCCCTGGCACCCAGCATAATGATAGGGATGTGGTAACGCCTCAAGAATTAACGCAATGCCTGTAATTAAAGCACTCTGGGAGGCTGAGGTAGGAGAATAGCAAGTTCATTACTTTCCTAAGTAGCAGTGACTGAGGAGTCTGTTTCAAAATTTTTTAAATGTAGTTTAGTGCAAAAGTCCTGAGTTCAAACTCCTAGTATTACAAAACAAAACAAAACAAAAACAAACAAACAAAAACCAATGGACGCGGAGGATGAGTATAGCAGCAGTGTGAGCACTGTCCAGTACTTAGGTCATCCGGATAGTGGGGGAGTCAGAAGGCCATATGTAAGATTGGCAGAGACCTAGTCAGGATTTTTAACTAAGGGCACTTGTGTAAGTCTCACATTCCAGAAAACAGGAACAAGAACGCTGGGAAGCTTTAAACAGCTTTCTCTGCAGGAAAACCTAAACAAACCACGCACAAATACAGGCACTTTAAAAACACGAGGGTTATAATTTTCAGGTCCCAGCGAGCCTGGCTGGGGTTAGTACTTTACACGGGGCAGGAAAGAGAGGACCAGGCTGTCGGGCTGCACTCTCGCCAGGCCCGGCCAACAAGCGTCACCAAGCGCAAAGGTGCGTGGAAAGCAGGCTGACCGCGCACGCGCTCGGAGCAGCGGGGTGCTTGGACTCCAGGTGGCTCCGTAGCCGCGCCCTGGGGAGGGCGGAACGTGGCGTGCCGGCGCCGTGCCTCCCGCCGGACGCAGTTTGCAGACGCACTCGCGAGCTCCCAGCTGGCTGCTCAGTTTCGCCTCTGCCAACGAGGAGGCCGGGCGGAGGGAGAGAGAGAGACGCTGAGGTCTGGCGCTCCTCCTCCACGGCTCTCGGGCAGAGCCTCCCCTCCAGCAGGTCTACGCCAAGCTGCAGCACGAACTTCCGGCTTCTCTTCTAAGTGGACGATTTGAGGCCGCAGCGGCCTTCGGAGCCGGCAGCCCCTTCCACCTCCCAGCAACAGCCCCGGGACCGGAGAGGACAGCCGCCCCCCGCAGGTTGTTCTCCTGGACGAGGCGGCCGCCTGCTTGCTGGCAAGGTGGGCTCGGGGAACGCTCTGGGTCTCCCCGCTACTTCCGCGAGACTCCACGCGAAGCCGGCCATCCTGGGGGTCCTGCCTCTCTTCTGATTGGTTAACTGCTCAGTTAATGAGCTCCGCTAGCTGGTGATTGGTTCAGACGCGCCGCCTGTCACCTGCTTCCCTGTGGGAATCTGGGTCGTTAGGGAAAGCGTTACTTGAGTCTCCATTGAAGAGGTTGGTTGGGTCCCTAGTCCAGTTTGTTTATTGTAGTGGGGAATCGTCTAGCCGCTGGAGCTTTCTTCGCCGGCGGTGGAAAGAACCCGTGGCTGGCCCAGGGTGGGAGGTTGGAGGAAGTAGCCAGAAAGTGAAGGTTTAGGAGTAAACTGAAGCCCCTAACCCTGGCTGCATCCGAATGGGAGCGTAAAAGGAAGGCAGGCCTTTGAGACAGCGAGAGGCATAATCCCAGTAGCAATGACAGCGTCGGAGGCTAGGCCAGAATTTGCTGTTCGAGAAAAGCCTTGCGCGAGATTTTCTTGACCTAATTGTATGGGGGTATTCTAGGTGTGTAACAAAATGCCCTGGAGAATTCGCTTTGGCTTTGAAGCAGAGTTGGGAGACTACCAGATGTTCCTGGTATTTAGAGACCTTTTTTTTTTTTTTTTTTTTTTTTTTAATAATTCAACTCTATTGCTTCAGATGGGCAGCTCTCAAAAAAGGCACAAACAACTGAAGGATGGGCACCATTCCATATGTTAAAAGCATGTTGAAAGAAAAATAAGGTATTCATTTTAATTGTGGTTAAATGTACAAGAATAAGTTTTGAATAATGTTAGGATACCTTGATTTTGTGTTAGGGTTCAACTTTTTAAACTGTTAATTACAAAAAATTATGCTACTGCTATGTCTACCAAATATGTTCCTTGCTCTTTTATGATCTCCATTGTTTTGGAAATGGAAAACCTTGAGTTTTGAATGTCACTTAGCACTTGAGTGGATATTGTTGGTAGGTCTTTCAAAGTTACAATGTAACAGTCACCATAACAATCTTGAATTTGTTCTTTAACGTGAGGCTACATGTGAACTTGAATAGTTGCTTATCCCTACTTTAGACTCCTGGGTCAACTTCATTTTGCAGCAGGTTGCTTATTAAACTCCTAGTGTAATTTCTAGATGTGAAACAGTTGCTTTCCTAGCAACCCAATCAGTGGGGCACCAACTTCCACTGAGTCGGGTGCTTCATTATACATACCCCTTAGTGACATAGGAGAAATTGTCGAAGAGTAATTTATTAGACCCACAGATCACCCAAATTAGCTAGTGATAAGAGACAGGGACCTACCTTAGAAAATTCTAACCAACAGTTGGGGATGAGATCTAGATTAAATTTTTTTTTTCTTCAAGTGAGTCTGACAACTCACTAGTGACTTAAAAAATTGATCTGTTTGTGACATTCTAAAGTACGGCACAGTTTTCTCCCTTGTTTCCCTGTAGTTTAGAAGTAAGCATATTGGGGATGACATGTAATTGTAATCCAAAAAATAACATTTATTTAGAATGTCAGAATGTTTCACTGTCCCTCAGAGATCTCTGGGAGTTACCAGTCTAGTCTGGGATGAGGCTCCATAAGATGAAACAGAATACTCTGGTGCACTCTCTTCTGAGAGCCTCATGGTGCATGCTATATTGAACCTACTGGGTTTTAAAGTCTTCCTGTTAGATTTTAAGTAGAGAGCACCTCAGAGCTTTTTTTTTTTTTTTTTTTTTTTGGCAGAACTGGGGATTGAACTCAGGCCCTTGGGCTTGCCAGGCAAGAACTTATTCCACTGAGCCATCTCCCCAGCCTCAGAGCTTTTGTGGTAGATATAACAGGATTAATTATTTTCACCTTAACAAGTAGTTTGCATTATTATACTTCTAAGCCTTATTTTAGAAGGAATATCTTGCTAGAAAAAAATAAATTGTACTCTCCCAGTAGCTCTTTCCTTTTTAGATAAAGAATGTGCACAGTTCAAGCCTAAAATCTGTTTTTTGACCTGAAGTACTCAGATATTTAAAACAAACAAAGCTTTTAGATCAGCTTTACCAGAGAGTTAAAGAACTTTTTTTAAAAAAAGGATAATCAGATGGTATTCAGATGTGAGAAATGTATGCTCACTTCAAGTTCTGACTAAACAATGGCTTCTGGCAAGGTAGTAGGTCCAATTGTGCTCTCTTGTCATAGAAGTTTTTCATTTTTTGTGTAACTTTCTCACTATAAGATTTGGCAACTGAAATGTCTTGAGTGGGGAACAGAATTAAAAAAATGGGGGTAAAAATGCAAAGCTGTAGGTAGTCTATAACTAATGCCTTGATTTTTATATATATTGTTTGAACAGGAAGGCAGAAGCCTCAGTATGAATCAGTCTAGACCTAGGTTAGGTAATGATGGTGAAGAACCCTCATCTCAAGACCGTAATGATCGTGAAAGTGGGAGAAGATGGCAGCAAGAACGCCTCCTTAGAGAAGAAGCCTATTATCAGTTTATTAATGAACTCAGTGATGAAGATTATCGGCTAATGAGAGACCACAATCTTTTAGGCACCCCTGGTAAGAAATGGGTAAAAAGAGGAAATGCCTTCTTTTATGAATAGGAGGAGGAATTTTGACATAAGATGTTTTTCCCTCACTTTTTCCTCTCCCAAAATATTATAGTTTTGTGAGTTTAAAAGGAAAAGGACCAAGAAGACACCAAGGTAGGTGAGAGGAAGAAGGGAGGGAGAGGGAATAAAAAAGAGAATTAAGATGTGTTATGTACATGTATCGACTCCTCACAGAGAATGTGATCATTGTGCACTGTGAACATACACTAAGACAGATTTGGTTTTAATACAACAAAGTAGAAAATCACCAGCTTACTTTTTCTGTATTTTATGTTTTTTACTTCTGTATAAGTAGATAAGGATATGAGATATACAAATGCTAAAATAACAGCCTGGTGTGCACAATAGTATTAAATGTTCACAGATGTAGTCCTAGTTCTTTTAAGTAATATTTGTACAAATAGAATATTAAGCCCCACTTCTAAGTTGTGTGAGGTGTTTATTTACTCAGCTGTATTAATAACCACCCAAAGTCCAATGTGCTCCATAAATTTTTGTAGATTCATTTTATAAATGAAACTCACTGAAATTTCTGTCTTTATGTTTGTATGTTGGAGGCCCAAATGATAAAATACTGGAGGACAATTTAAGTGAATAAACACTTCAAGTTTTCTCTAAAAAAATTACCTTAAACTTTTTTTGAGGGCTGGGGAGATAGCTCAGTGGAATAAGTGCTTGTGTGGCAAGTACAAGGTCCTGAGTTTGATCCCTGGTACCACCAAAACAATAAAATAAACAAAAAAAAACCCAAAACATTTTTTAACATTCTGGCAAAAATGCACCAAATTAATAGCCCATAGAGTCTCTAAGTATGGACTGAAAGTTCTTTATTAATTATTCACATTTAATATTATTTTAGTGAATTTTAATAAACTAGTAATAAATCCCTGTCTTATAGAACGTGTGTGGATACTAAGACATTGTCTTTTATAAGTGGTTAAAGACTAAGTTTAATCTTCTTGAGTTCTCATACAATTTTAAAATAAGCAGTATTCATTGTTTCAGGAGAAATAACATCACAAGAACTGCAGCAGCGGTTAGATGGAGTGAAGGAGCAGCTAGCATCTCAGCCTGACTTGAGAAATGGGACAAATAACAGAGGTATTCTGGAGTCATTTCTGTAAGCAACAGGCTCGACTGGGACAGTTGTGACAGTGAAAATATTGCATCTTACATGTCTGTTTTTAATGTTTTCCAGCTGTGATGTGATATTCATTCAGATACTGTATATGTATTATATACAAAGTAGTCTTTTTGGACAGTACAGAAGAGTGAACAAAAATTTTCATATACAGATTGCCTTCAACATGGCCTACGTATACGTGTGCTACATTATTATTATATATAACACATTATATATAGCATAGTTCATTTTTTAAAAATCTATTATTTATTTATTTGATACAAGGTCTGACTATGCAGCTCTGACTCCTGTCTCAGCCTCCCCAGTGCTGAGAGCATAGGCATACAGTGTACACCCTACTTTTTCTACCATCATGTAGCTAAGCTTAGTTTCCTAGAATTTATATTATAGAACAGTACAGAAAGACAGAGGTAGGACATGTATTTTTATTTATTTATTTGTTGTTTTCTTTTGTTACTTTACTGAACAAACACTAAGCCATAGTATAAAATGTTCTTATAAAAATGAGAATACATGTAAAAAGTAAAAATAAACATATAGACCCCAATTTCTTTGTCTTTCAAGCTAGTTCTGTTTCTTTATTCAGAGGTATCATTAGTAATCTCACATATTCTATCAAATCATTGTATTGATTATAATGAAGTATTAAAAAAAAAACAAACCCTTCATAATGTAATGGGTCAAGGGCCAGGGAGATAGCTCAGTAGCACAAGTGCCTGCCTGGCAAGTGCAAGGTCATGAATTCAATTTCTGGTACCAAAAACAAAACAAAAGAAAATGTAATGGCTTAATAAGATACAAGAAGTTTCTTTCTGTTTTGTGCTAACAGCCCAAGAAGGACAAAGATACTTTGTTTCATAAATCTTTCTGAGACCCAAGAAGATAGCTGAGTGATTCTACAGTTGTACTGGGCAGTGTGGTAGTAGCTACTTGTGAATAAAATATAATCTTATTAGACTAGCCACATTCAGGTGATGAACAGTGACATGTAACTGGTAGCTTCCTTATCGGACAACACAAATATGGAACATCTCTAGTGCGAAAAAGTTTATGGGACAGTGTAATGCCAGCATGATCATGCTGAGTTTTAACCACAGCTAGGTTTCCGCAGGTACCTACATGCCAGGCTATTCTCATGGGCATTTCTAATGTTTTTACAGTAGTAGAGTGCAACTATTTCAGGCACACCATCATCATTACATTCTAGTTCATCAGAGAAGGGAATAGCAATTAGGTTGATTCATTTTTTTGGTTTAGTTTTTTTGTTTTTTTTTATCAGAGTCTCACTAGCCTTGAACTCACTGTGTAGTCAGGGCTGGCCTCAAGCTCATGTGATCTTCCTGCCCCAATCTCCTAAGACCTTGGATTATAGGTGTGGGTCACCACACCTGGATTAGAATGATTAATGTTCACCCTTCTTTTACTTATATCTTTTCCTAACTAAAATGGAAATTGGGTATTGACCCTTTTTTTTGTATTCAAATATGTAAGTTAAACTAAATTTGTATAACTTATTATACTGATCTTTTGAATATGTTTTAATGGAAATTATACTCATCAAATGTAAAATAGTTCATTATCTTTAGAATATGGCTAAAGTTATTCTTTATTATATTGACAATTTACATCTTTAACTTCATTTAAAAGTGTTTATGAGATTGATTTCATTAATGAAACTAAAATCTCAAAAAATAGTTATTTTTGAGTAAAAGAAAAAGTCTAAAGTTGAAGTCTATGGTGAGTGTGCATCAAAATACTTTTCATTGTGTTTTTCACTTTATGGTATTAACTGGTTACAAATATATAAATGAAAACTTTAGGCTTGGCACAGTGTCCATATTATTATTGAAGAAGTTTAACTTAGACACACTGATTTCCAAATTGATTCACTCGACAATATTAGCTGAGAGTCTGATTTATACTAGACCCTATTAGAAAGGCTGGAGATTTACCAATAACTAATAAAAATGCTGAACACAGTGGTGGTATATTCTAGAATTCTAGCATTTTGGGAGCTTGAGGCAAAAGGATTGCAAGTTCAGGTCCTACCTGGGCACCTTAGTGTGAGACCTTGTCTCAAAATTAAAAGTTTTTAAAAGAGACCAGGATGTAGCTCAGTAGTAGAGTACCCCTAGGTTTGACCCCCCCAGCATTAAAAATAAAGATGAAAATGTTTGTCTTCATGAAGCTTACACTGTAAATGAATAGTATATGTATTTATTGTATATAATAGTTAACATTTACTGAATGTTTTCTATATGCCAGGTACTATATGCATTATTTTGTATATGATGCCTTATTCTTTACTCATGAAAACCCAGTGAGTTTGACATCATCTCCAATTTACAGACAAGGATACAGTCACAGAGAAAGTAACTTGCTATAGTCTTCCAGCTTTATGCAAGGACAACTAATGTAATTCTAACAGTATATTCATATTAGATTGACTGGAATTTGCATTTTTGGCAGTTCCTAAGAGATAAAATTTCTAGGGTTAAAAAAATACTTTGAGTTGGCTCATCCGCAGATAGGATAAATTTTACATAGAGTTTGCCGCCTTGTTTTATTGGTAGTAATATGTGAATAAAATGACTTAAATGTACAATTTGGTATTGGATATATTTCTCATTTGCTGCAATATTTTGTCAATAACAGAAAGTAGGAGCAAGAATTTCCCCATAACTTTGCAAAAATAGTATTTAAAGTCCTACAATCATATAAATGCTATTGTATTTTAATTTTTAGAATATGCTCACAGTATACAGTTTCATTTAGAAAGTTCAAGGATTTTGCCATTTTTCATTCATTGAAATGCATAAATGTTAATTTATTATGGTATCTGTTTTTCTTGCTTTCAATAAAGTTCTAAGCACAGATTCTAAGAATTGATTTTATGTTCATTTGATTTGCTTTCCAGACTCAGAAGTACCTAGAGAAAGTTCAAGTGAAGATTCTTTGCTAGAATGGCTGCACACCTTTCGTCTTACTGGCAACGCAACTCGAAGTGGACAAAATGGGAACCAAACTTGGAGAGCTGTGAGT